TGTTATATTTTTATTTCTGTCTGTCTGGGCACAGCATTTTTAAAACTAAAAGAAAGAACCGAACCGGGGGTGGCATTTGGCGAAAGGATACATCCATGACTGCCACCATGCTGCGACAGGTGTCAATCCCGAATCCGTCAGTCTTCAGGTCGGGATCTAGAAAGGAGAAGCGCGACCTGAGAATCCCGCGGGCATCGGAGGGGGAAAACGCCACCTCTGGCCAAGGTGGATTCGCTTGCCCGGGAAAGGGACTCGGCTCCCCTCCCAGAGACCCCCCCCCAGGGGGAAACACACCCGCCACTTACGTCTGGTGACCACTTTGTTGAGGATATTCATCAGCTCTGAAGCACTGACTTCCATATCCTGAGAGGAAAACGAGAGACGCATGTAGGCCGCATCACTGAAGGAAGAGCTAGGCCCGATCCCTCCTGTGAAGGAACGTTCACGGGGCCGCACACAGCTGAAATGTCCCCACCCGGGTGCGTCTCTTCCCATCAGACAACACCCACATCACACAGCTAGAGATGTGAAGGCCCATAAAAACCCCGGGAAAATTCGGGAAAAAACCCCATTTTTTTCCCCAAAACGTCCCCCCCCCCAAAAAAATGAAAAAATTGAAAAATGAAAATAAAAGAAAATGGATTATGGAACGTTCCCCCAAAACGTCCCCCCCCCCCAAAAAAATTGGGAAAATTGAAAAAATAAAATAAAAGAAAATGGATTATGGAACGTTTTATTTTCACACGATGAATAAAATATTTTAAGACAAGGTGTCCAAATATTTTCCAAATCATTTCTAAAAAGTACGTATGGCATCAGATCGATCTAATTCCTGTGCACTGAGGACAAGCAAGTCCTAGGTTACAAACTGAACTCTCCAATGCAAGAACAAGATGCATTTCTTCCTTTAGGAGGTGCTGTTGTTACAAGACAGGAAAAAGGTTTCAGTTTTGTTCTTGCATGTGGGTGGGTATTCTGTTTGTAATAATTGTTTGGATACACTATATTTTTAATAGGCTAGTTGCGATAATTTCATGCCAAATACAAATGTCCATAGTCATATTTTATGTTCCTAAAGTGACAGAATGACTTTCAATCTGGAAAAGAAAAAAGAAGTGCTAATGTAGCAATCTTTTCAATTCTTCCGAAAATGTCTGGGTTTTTCCTGGAAAAAACCCAGGATTTTTTCCGAGCTTCAAAATGTTCGAAAATGTTACATCTCTACAAACAGCACCAAGAGGCTAGTCCTCAGTTTTTGGGGAAGGGACCGCTGGGTAACACGCCCCAAACTCACATCTCCCGCCAGCTGGGTGAAGAGCCGCCGGAACTGCCGCACCTCCTCACTCTCGTTGGCTTCGACGTTGGAGAAGTGGCTACGGGGAGGCTGGAATGGAGAGAGAAGCAAGAAGGAGGAGGAGGAGAAGAAATTGGATTTATCCTCAGCCCTTCACTACTCGAAGCAGTCTCAGAGCGGCTGACAATCTCCCTTCCCTTCCCCTCCTCACAACAGACACCTTGTGAGGCACGTGGGGCTGAGAGAGCTCTTTCGAGGACTGCCCTGGAGAGAACAGCACTGAGAGAACTTGTGACTGACCCAAGGTCACACCAGCAGCTGCATATGGGGAGAAGAAGAAGAGATTGGATTTATACCCCCGCCCTTCACTACCCGAAGGAGTCTCAGAGCGGCTTACAATCTCCTTTCCCTTCCCCTCCCCACAACAGACACCCTGTGAGCAGTGTTCTCTCTTAGCTGGGTTAGCGTGAGACAGCTCACAGGTTATTTTAGCCTCTGGGTCACTTTTTTTTTTCCTAACTCAGGAAGGAGGGCTCCAGAGCAAACTAATTTATGCAGTAGCCAAATCACTGACTCGAGTTGTTGGTTGTGTTCCAACAGACGAACAAAGTTAACCTGCTGCGTGACTGGAGGTAAGCATTTTGTGGCTGGCTTTGCCTCCTGCAGCAGCCATTTTGTAGCTGCACACACCACGCGGTGTCAGAATCCCAAAGGCGCCCACCCTCTCAGAAATGTGTGAGCCAGAGGCTGGGGATCCCCGCCGTTCACCCTTGAAAATTCTGTAGGTCTTTTAAAGTGCTGCCGGACTTGGGTTGAGTCCAGCGATTCTCCTGTTGCTGCTGCCAGCCTGGGATGCAAACGGAAGGCAGTGGGTCTGTGGGATCTCAAGCATCTAGCGAGCCAAGAAAGAGGGTCGGAGGAAAATTTCACCTTGGTGGGGTTTATTTCCACATTCAGAGGTAACTCTTGGCAGTAGGGGGGTCGTCTGAAAGCAGTGCATCCCCCCCCCTCCCCGTTAGGAATTTTAGGTTGTCGCAGAAGACAGGCCACAAGATTCAGCCATGCATGAGGTTCTGCAGGTCGCATAACCCAGTATCCTGTCTCCAATGCAAGCGGCATTGAAAGGCACAAGGCAAGAAGGTGAAGCCCTTCCCCTCTTTTGGCATAAATTAAAGACTTACCGGGGGTTCTGGGTTATACTGAGCAGCTGCTTCACTGCAAAGAGACAGAAAGGGGAAAAACGTTATTAGAAATGATGCTTCGTCCAAGCAACTCACCTTCTCTCTTCTTCTGATTGTTAAGAACGAGAGAGAAGCCATCTTGGATCAGGCCAATGGCCCCTCCAGTCCGACACTCTGTGTCACACAGTGGCCAAAACCCAGGGGCCACCAGGAGGCCCACCAGCAGGGCCAGAACTCCAGAAGCCCTCCCACTCTTGCCCCCCAAGCACCAAGAAGACAGAGCATCACTGCCCCCAGACATAAGAACCTAAGAGAAGCCAATGTTGGATCAGGCCAATGGCCCATCCAGTCCGACACTCTGTGTCACACAGTGGCCATCAGGAGGTCCACCAGCAGGGCCAGAACTCCAGAAGCCCTCCCACTCTTGCCCCCCAAGCACCAAGAAGACAGAGCATCACTGCCCCAGACATAAGAACGTAACCGAAGTTGGATCAGGCCAATGGCCCCTCCATTCGAATAGTCTGTCACACAGTGGCCAAAACCCAGG